AGTTGATGCTTCTTTTAAACAATAAATCACCCAAAAACCCATGTTTAGAAGCTTTTACAGGCTTTAACTTGAAGCCAGAGCTTGTGGTGTGTGGGTACCACATTTACCACACAGAGAGAAGACCAGTGCCTCTCCTTATGATCAGCATGTTTTACATTCCCAACACCCATCCCAGAACCAAGTGATTCCCAGTCTAACAGCTCCAGAGATGCCTGTCCTGGGAGAGAAGACGAAGACGGTGCAGGCTCAGCTGCTGCTGCTGCAGAGAAAGTGAAACCAATTGAATTGAGCCCACAGAGAATCCTATATGGTGTCCGCCTGCTGAGTGTGGAAAACAGAGCAAAGAAGAACAGGTTGATTTGTCTGACTTCTCTCTACAGAGGCACTCAGGTTTCTGCTCCTTCCGTAGTCCGGAATCATCTGCAGGATTTTTTATGGAAACATAAAAAATAAATGAGAATGAGGTTAACAAGCACAAAACTAGTGTGAATGCAGTGTGTGATGCACCATTTATAGTATGCAGCCTGAACATTTTTCTTTTATTTATGATAATAAATATTTAACTATAACTGAAGATTTTTACATCAATCTGATAATTGTTAGCTTTAATAAACACACTCAAATCTAATATTCAGATCTTTGCAGATTACTTAGCTGTTTTCGTTATTGGTAAGAATTGACTAACTTTCACTTACTGACAGATTGTTGGTGAAAACTGAACAATGCAAAGCTTTATTTTGTTTGTTCTTTTTGTATCATTGAAGAATGTGCATGTATGGATGCACTTAAATATTCATGTGTGTGTGTGTAAGTGTGTGCGTGTGCATGTGTATGCATGCATGCATGCAGGTGTGTGTGTGTGTGTGTGTGTGTGTGTGTGTGTGTGTGTGTGTGTGTGTGTGTGTGTGTGTGTGTGTACATATGCTATCCAAAACAAATGTAATTTCTTATTTTTCACAGCCTACAGCTTTGCTCAGATATAATATATAATCTCTATGGAACAATAATTGAAATGTCACAGCGCACATTTAAGTCTGGTTTATATTGCAAACACAATAAACAAAACTCTGCTTGGAGCAAAAAGGTTTCTTGTTTTCAAATTTCATTCCGTGCTTATATTCAAGCTGTTTTACTCATCGTTTCCTGAAACATATTACTGATTTCCCCAATAGAAAGGATGTCTTTTGATCATATTCGTCTCATTTACAGATCAAACCAGAGCTGCACCCAGTAACAGCGGCCTATCACAACAATGACATAAGCCAATAATAATTTAGAATTGAACTTATTATACATGTTTTTATTGATTAGTGAAAACGCTGAGCTCGATCTTATTTAAAAAAAAACACTATTTCAACTGTGTGAATGATGTAATAAATTACAAAAAACAGAAATATTGTTTTAAATGGTACTTGAGCTCTCCTGCAGTCAAGACAAAATGTAAAATTCTTTGGCCAAAATGTGGTACATAAAAACTAGCCTTTAGGTTTTTGACATGAAAGGTTTTATTAAAAAGCAAAATGTAATAATTGTGTTAGAGGACTTGAGATTTATCCATTTATGATGTTTGTAATTATCAAATAGTTTCATATAGAGACATGTGTATAATAAAAAATGCTGCTGTGCTTCATTTATGCAGTTAATCATGTGCAAGGAACACAAAATGCATTTAAAATTAGCTCAGGAGATACATAATGGATGGGGTGAAATGGAGGTGATGGACATTCTGTGCGTAAAATAAAACACATTTTTACTAAAATAATCCTCAAGCACACAAACTCTAAAAATAGATCTAAAGCCGCCTCTCTTTCATCTCAGGCAAAATTAAAAGTGAAAAGATTCCAGAGGAAAGTTCTCAGCATAGTGAGTCCACATCCAGTGGGCACTATGGGCTGATTTCCTTTGGGCTTCAGCCTGTGGTGAAAACTAGTGTGGAAAAAATATTCTCTATGCAGGATAAAAGGAACTGACGTGAGTTCATGACTGATTTTTACCCTTTTTATTAAATGAAAGAAAACTGAACTTTGATTTGAGTGGCTCTCTTAAACTTCAAAATATCAAAACTGAAAAGAAAAAAAAAGAAGATATATTGGAATTCATATTGCACTTTTAACATGTGTCTTTTCATTGTGGAATTCTAATGCAGAAAAATAATCACCTCCTATTACAGTTTTTCCTGCTTTTTAATGAGAGCCAGCTGACAATAGTTCTACCGTATTTTCACGACCATAGAGCGCACCGTGTTATAGGGCGCAGCTTCAGTTACGGCTGTCTTTTTGGTATTTAACACATACAAAAGGCGCATCGGGTTTTAGGGCGGGGGCGGGGGCACGGGAAAACGTACCGGTAAAACATCTGTGCGGGCTCGGGACTCGGAACATTTCAGTGCAAACCAGACATTGTGAAAATTATAAACACCCAAAGGCATGTTTCACTTTACTGGTCTAGTCCTGGTTCAGTCTTGGATTAGAGCGCACGTGCACTTCCTCATTGCGTGAGCTGACGGCTCGTGCTCTCCTAATGGGCTCGACACACGGGAGGCCTAAGAAAATAGTGTGATTTGAATTGTGTTTTATTAACCCTCTGGGGTCCATGGACGCGTATCCGCATCTTTTGAACATGTCTTATTTGGGACGCTGTAGAAGCAAGACTTCGCCTCCCAGAGTTTCAGTTTCAATTCAGCTTTAAAAAGGAGATTATAAACTACACCCCAGTTTTTACATTTTGTTAATAAGCAATGTAAAAGCGTAGTTGTGGGCTCGACACACGGGAGGCGACAAACGACCGCGATCAGCGAAATTTGTTGCTGTAGCTTTTATTACCTGACACACGGGAGGCGATACGCGGCAGCGCGCATGTCTCATTGAAAATGAATGGAGGAGAGGCGATGTCGCCTCCCGTGTGTCGAGCCCATTATACTAAACTAAAAAAACGACCTATTTTTAGACAATCTGACAACTTGTCAAAACAGCAGTTTAGTAATCCGTGAGAGGGAATGTGCTTGTGAACATAAAAAACCCACAAAAACATGAGATCCTTTTGCTGTTGGTGGAAGTCTCACATATTCAATCGATAAAAAGTATCATTATGTAGCTGAGAGAGAGAGGAAGGCTGCATGAGTAACGAGATGTGCGCAAAAAGGAGCCGCTTTGTGGGGAAAGGAGTAGCGCGAACGGAGTAACAACAAACAATTAGACAGATATTGATGGTAAACTTCATATTTTGGAGCGATCCGGACAGATACATTGTCTCTGCAGTTCAGTAAGCTTTTATTAGGCTTGATGGATGATGAGAAGGATAAATGTCCACCAGGCAGTTCAGATAGTACGGCTGTTTTTTGAACTGGAAGCAGAGGAAGTGGACGGAGACTCACAGCCGGAGTCTGAGGCAAACAGCGAGGATGTTGATGACGAAGATGCAAATCCACAGGTCTGTCTTCGCTCACGTCTGTCTTCGCTCACGTCCGCACGTTCACGCCACGCCCCTTATCATCTACTACGTTCGCGTCTCACAACAACACAATAGGTGCACCGCACCATAGGGCGCAGAGTATATTTTGGAGAAAATTTAAGACTCTAAGGTGCGCCTTATGGTCGTGAAACTACGGTAATTTCATGAGAACAATCTGAACAGAGACAGGATCAATGTGTTTATGAGCCTTTTGTGGGGCTAAAAATGGGAATTTGGAGGTGTGATTATGGCTGAGAGGAGATTGGTTTTGTCCAAATAAACAAAATCAGAAAGTTGTTTTCAGGATGAAGTCAGACATCATTAAACTCAACCCAGTAAAAAAAATTGGTATTATCTGGTCGTAACCTTGAAATGTTGGTGTAATTTTAAAGTTTCATTACATAAATAATTAAATAGTTATGTTATTTAAATACTAAATGCATTAGTATTCAGAAGGTGTAGGACATGAACATTTATTGAAACCATTTAAGCCCAGATTTTACCACCAATGCAGCAGAGACAAACAGCAGGTTCTCAGTTCACCCACATCAAGCTTCCTGTTGGATGTTTGATGTCCTGGTGGGATTGTGGACAAGATGAGAGGTTGTTTTTGGTGCTGACACAGTCAGAGAAGGCCAGGCTGTGACATTATGTCAGCCAGGCAAGGCTAATGGGAAAACCCAGTTAAATACCACCTCTAGAAGCACACAAGGCACAGAGTTTGTGGTGGTTTGGGTGTGTGTGTGTTTATTTGTTCGTGTGCATGGCTGTGTGTGCATATTTATACCTCGTAATGAAAGAACACTGGCAACAAGCCGGGTGATGTGCAGGGATGACATTAGAGGAGAACGAAAACACACACAGGCCAGACACCTAATTATCCATCAGTGATGCAACAGGACAGAAAGAACAACAGCTCTGCTTTTGCACAGTTTGCTGCAGGCTGCTGTAGAATCATGAGAATAAACTAAGAACCGAAGCTGCTGCTCATGTATCCTACTAAACTCAGAATAAAATTGTGTATTTTTTTTCCAGATATTTGTGTTGTTTCCAGGATACACACAGAAGTTTGGAAGCATTATACGCCAATCTGTCTGCTACTCATTCTGCAAACAGAAGTTCTGCTGCAGTGGAGCAATGAGAGAAAAAATAAAACCCTTGAGTGATATAAAAGTGTGTCGTTCAGAAAGAAACATGTTGACACCAGCCTGGTGTTGTTCACATTCAGAATATTAATAAAATATTTTTTCCTGGAAAACAGGATGCAAAAGAGGAAGTAACATCTGTGAGCTGTAGAAAAATGTTCCTTTCCAAACGTTTTCTTCATCTTTTCATTACTGTTCACACACACACACACACACACACACACACACACACACACACACACACACACACACACACACACACACACACACACACGCTCATATTTCAACTTATGTCTTATTTTAAAAGAAAACAAAAACCTTATATATTTCGTGCACCCATGTAACTATGCAGCCGGACATTTGTTACTGACAGTAAATGAAGGATTATTTGGTTTTCCACTTTACCTATTCTGAAGGAAAGTGGTCCACCACAGGTGCTTCTCACCCACATGGCTAAGAAGAGCAGAAGCGCCCAGGCTGTGAGCATCTTCTATGACTCCTCATGGGTCCTGCCCTGGGTGTGCCCCTGCCACAGCCACCTGAAAAATAAACAGAAGAGCTGAATGGTTCTACCTGCAGACATGAAGAGAGGCTCTCTCACTCACACACACACACACACACACACACACACACACACACACACACACACACACACACACACACACGGTTTTGCTTTTTATCGACTTCTGTTGCTGGGATCTGTCAGTGTTACCCCGGGTTTCCACGGGAGCCGTCAGCAGCACGTCTTGCTCGCGTAAGCTGCTGCTTGGCCCTTCCCACGAGACACGAAGCAGCAGGGGAGCAGCTGTCACCGACCGAGCACGAAGTCACTCGTCAGTAAACACAACAACAAGCAGGAGAAAACTACAACATGGTTTGTGTTTTATGTTCTGTCTGTTTTATAATCGCCAATACGGACCTGAAAAACAAAGGAGACCCCTAGCTAGGTGATAACTTCTCACGGGGCCGCACAGTTAGTAACCTTTTTTGAAGTAAAGCAACTGGAAGGCAGTACGTTCTTTATTCGGAAAATCTCGGGAGCTTCTCTCCATTTCCGCGTCCGATTTCCTGTCTTTCCTTCCCCAAAAATGTCGAACTTGACCCGTTTCAGAGGCGTCGCGCGTAGAAAATAGAACCGGCGCGTAAAGGCCGCAACATGCTGCTCCTGAGACGCGGCCGACTCGCGCTGCTGACGGCTCCAGTGGAAAGCCGGGGTTAATGGAAAACTGCAGCTAAGTGAATCAGAGGCCCGTGGGTATTTTTGATGGTTTCTTCCCACATCGCTGTCTTTTATATTGGGTAGGAATGAGTTAATTTATCATTTTCTGTTCTTTGCATAACAAACTGGAGAGTGATCCTGACTTTTTTATAAGACACAGGCATTAATAATCTGCAGAACACAACATCACACAGCTCTTCCTCCTGCCAGACAGTTTCTCAACAAGAAATCAGAGAACAAGAATGTGGAAAGATACTAAAATGTAAAATAGATCAAATCAACAGAGAAGCTTAAAGTGTCAGTCTGTTCCTCCTCCTCCTCGTCCTAATCATCAAATTAAGTCTGATATTAAGAACGTGTTTAACTTTTAATCAGAGGAAAGGGAAAACTATTAAAAGTTAAACTGGGTATTTTGGGGAGGTTAGTTTAACTAAACATTTAGTTTCAAACTTCCTGAAAGAGGTGGAAATCAGCTCTAAAAGAGTATAATGGACAGGTGTTTTATCTTTCATTTAAACTTAAAAGTTCATTTACTTTATCAGCTCTTTTATCCAAATAAAGAAAAATCTAATCATGAATAAATGAGCCGTTAAGGTAATAGGAGTTCTCAGCTCATGAACAGCGACCGGCAAACAGATCACCTCCAACCATGGAAACACAAAGACTGTTTCACTCATAAGAACACGATTCCTAAAGCTCTGTGATTAAATCTTCTGATTGGTTCTCTTCTCAGGCTAAAACAGTTTCTGTTAAACAAACCTTCACTTGGGCTGCAGAGCCTGAATCTCTCATTCCACCAACACACAGACACTAAGAGCCGCCATTATAGGAGCCTGGTGCAGTGGTTAGAAATGCGGTCGTGTCCTGCAACACTTTGGTATTTTGTTGGACATTAAAGGGATCAAAGTGGTCAGAAAACACCCTCACCGTTACTCCAAAACCACCCGTCTAAATTATTGATAGAAAGCAGGAAGTTCAAGCTTTTATGTTGTTTTAGTTTGGATTTCAAACCTGAAAACTAACTGGGATAAAAATAAAAAAAAAACAGGGAGCAGTTTTCTGACTCACATCCAACCATTTTGTTGAGCTCATAATGGTTGCACCATTTTTCCATTCTTCACACAATGCACTGCTTAAAATCCTAAAACGGATTTAGTCAGATGCTCAGTCACATGATTGTTAAACTGATAGAACAGGCGTATCTGAATGTTTGTTAGTATAAAACATGTATTGGTTTTGTTTAATAGTCCACATGTGGCTTCAACCACTCAAAAAAAGTTTTAAAAAGTTCTGTTGATGTTTCATCGATATCTGGTTTTATTGAACTAGTCATCTGAGACATGGGTGGTGATAATGAGCTGAGCTCTCGGTTTAATTTTTTAGATTTTAAAGAAATATTTTACTTTTATTGTTTTAGAAGGGTCATGGAAGGATTTGTGTAAGTCATATTATTGCAGCTCAATTTTTAGACCCAAAACATTAAACTGCCTAAAGTAAAAATGACCTGTAGGAGCCATTTATTTTGTGGGTTGGGCTTTCATCTGTGGTGGTGGTGGTGTCGGGTGCGTCACATGTGATTTAAGTGGGTCCTCAGGTGTTTCGGTTTTTACCGCTCGCGACACCATGGCACAATATACTTCCTTTTTTGTGATGATCAACTGGGAGCACTACTATCCTTGGAACCGCATCATGTAAAACGCCAGCTAATGCTTGTAAAAGAAAATAAACAAGACTAACGCACAGACAAAAGGAGGTTTGATTTATGAATAGAAGCGCGTCAGAAGCCGCCTCCGCCCTCACCCAGCTGGCTGACAACAGGAAGTGTCAGCACATAACCCTTCATGTACTTTTTTTCAGTAATTTACAAGTTGAATGAATTACATCAAAATCAGAATCCTGCATCCTTTTCATGCTGCAACCTGAGAGCAGCACTCTTGAAAATGTAAAAAAAAAAAATAATAATAATTACATAAAACAACGTGCTGCAACAATATTTTTATCCTCAAACCAAACCACCAAAGAGATTTCAGCTTGGTTTGACAGTTCAGAGTAAAAACTGTCTGTCGACGTGGAAACGCAAGAGAGCATCAACCACAGACAGAACAGGTTGATCCGACAGTTTGACGTGACTCATCAAAGCAAGCGTTTACACAATCCAAATGTCAAATCCGTCAATCATTCATCAAAAACTCAGTTAATTCAGCCACAAACGGACCATTAAGTCTGAGTCAGACGTCTGTATTCGCATATATTTATGTGCTGTTGCACTGGGAGACACAAAACCTCTACAAAAGAAACTTGCAGATGAAAATGAGTGTGCCTGATGTTCAAGCAGGGTTTATCTTCACTAGCGGCTGAGTTCATTTGCATGTGGGATTTATAATCTGTGTGTGAATAATTGTTGAGCTTTATGGAGAAAGAATGAAAAATATCTGGACACCAGCAAAGGTTTATTGATATCAGCAGTGAAGGGACAGATATGTGTTTATGGTAATGCCAGGGATGTTGGTCAGCTGTTTAAAGGGACCTGAGTGTTTCTACTCTGCAGTAAACATGGATGTGTGAACTTCAACAGCATCTCTTAGTAGTAAACACAATTTATGAACAATGATCTCAGTGGTCCTTCAGTCAGGAGCAAGGCTAGTGTGATGTAAACATCAGTTTATGGTCGATGGTCTGGATATGCAGTCGAATAAATGTCTCTTCACAAAGAAAAATGGTCCACATGCACTAAAGTGTTTGCTCACTTTTAGAGAAACTTTTAAAACTATAAAACAATAAGCAGTTGTGATATAATCTGTTTTCCTTTTGTTATTATATATAATAAAGTAACATTGTTATTATTAATAATATTTAGCCATTAGTTTTGCAGTGATTGTGATTAAACATCAGGTCTTCATGATAATCAAGCAACAACTGAGCTACCATCAGCCATGGCATAATAATAAAAGCATCCTTAAAAGGACCGTAATTATTATTATTATCATTATTATCACCAGTGGAGAGATTCCACCATGTTAATGTGATCTATATTTTCTCTATTACATAAAGGTGTAACAATATGATCTATAAGCATTTAAGCTCCCAATAAACTGAAGCAACACAATCTGTAATCAGCTTAAATGAGCTCTCATGATCAGACCTACAATTGTCTCTGATTGGAGCTTTGAATTTCCTGCAGGTGTCCAGCAAAATCACTCTGGAAGGAAAACCCAACGAGTGGCCGGGAGAGAGATAAAAATCAGACTTATTTCATGAGGCATAAGAGGAGCGAAGAAGGAGAAAGATAATGAGAGGGAAAGGGCAGAGCTGAATCTCAGATAAATCGATGTGGGACAAATGTTCATCTGATTGGTCTTTTCTCAAGTACCTCCACATTCCACTGAGGTCCACCGCCGTTACAGCTCAGACTCTCTGTTATTGAGATTTATCTGAGTCAGTAGGGTGTGTGTGTGTGTGTGTGTGTGTGTGTGTGTGTGTGTGTGTGTGTGTGTGTGTGTGTGTGTGTGTGTGTGTGTGTGTGGCCACAAAGGTCACACTAAACTGCATGTGCTCCGATCTGTGTTGGTGTGTATGATTCCTTCGCACTTTGTACTAAATGACCCCTACATGATCCTCCAGGGCGATGTGCTTTCTCAGTCCTACTGTACAACACTGTCGCCGGGGGCAACGGGAAGCATGGAGGCTGACAGAGAGTCAGAAACAGACGTCATGAACAGGCAGGCGGTACTGAGTGAAAATCTGTTCCTTGGCAGAGTCAAGCAGCTACAGCTCCCAGTTGGCAGAACGTACTGGAGGGAAACAATTTGATTTCTAAATCAATGTCTCTGTAAAACCTAACAGCTTGTCACCCAGGTTCAACAGATGTAAGGGTCAAGCTTAGAGGTGCACTTGTTGTGTAGCTGATTATGTCTGAGTGTGGTTCTAATGGTGCAGAGCACAAAAACTAATGGGGTGTAGCCAAACTCAGGTGGAATAAATGAAGTCATTGATGCTGCAGAGTGAATGAGTTGTGACGCCATGAGGGGAGAATAATCATGAGCAGAGGAGGTATTTGTTGGTGAGCAGAGTTCAAGTGTTTACAGCTGCCAGAAGCTGGTTTGTCTCAGAACCTTTTAGCATCAAACACTTTGTAGTTAACTGTGTGATGCTTTGCTCAAGGACACCACTTGAGAGAGTAAGTGATGCTCAACAGTAATCCAAAGAACACAACTTTAAAAATAAGCCCTGCAAATAGTACCTTCTTCTCCTTATCTATATATCTAAAACAACTCAAGTCTTCCAAACTGAATTGTGATTCAATTATTTGCATTGTTGTCA